TTGTCATTTTTTAAAATTTCAAATTTGAAAGGTTCGAATTTAGTCAAATGATAAGATAACCAAAATAAAAGTTGTAGATCTTGATGAATTGAACAACTTTTGTATTCATCACTTTTACATCTGAAATCATTTAGGGTTTGAAAATTTAGTTTGAACTTGTCAAATTTCAAATTTTAATTTTCAAAATTTAAAATGTGTAAAACATTGTCACGTGATCAAACTTAAATGCTGAAGCAAGATTTTAGAAATTTTTAGGAAAAACAACCATCACATTTGGAGTTAGTATGAGAGAGAACAACTAGTTACAAAGTTTACGCACAGATTAAAAAGAGAAATAACACTGTTCTTGATGATCCTTACATGATCATAATAAACAGTGTGATTTTTTTTTAACTTGTGGGTTAACTTTGTAACTAGTTTTTCTTTCTCGTACTAACTCCAAATCTGATGATTTTTTTTCCTAAATTTTTTTAAAATCATTTTCTATCAATTTATTTTGTTGGTTTTGTCAATATATACATATGAAAAGTTTGAGCAATTTAAATTTTGAATTTCAAAAAAATACTTCAGACAAGATTTTGGTACCCCAAATGATTTCAGCTGAAAAAAATGATAAATACCAAAGTTGAATAACTCATCAAGATCTACAACTTTTGTATTGGTCATTTCTTCATATGACAAAGTGGTAATGACATTGTTAACAAATATGGCACATCTCTCATAAGGTTTTATAGACTACATGAGACATGTGTAAGATTATTGAACAATGTATGCTAAGAATTTATCAAATGAAGAAATGACCAAAATAAAAGTTGTATATATTCATGAGTTTAACAACTTTGGTATTCATTACTTTTTATGTTGAAATTAATTTGGGTCTCAAATTTTGGTTCGAACTTGTCGTTTTTCAAAATTTCAAATTTGAAAGGTTCAAATTTTGTCAAATGATAAGATGACTAAAATAAAAATTATAGATATTCATGAGTTTAACAACTTTGGTATTCATCACTTTTTATGTTGAAATCAATTTGGGTCTCAAATTTTGGTTCGAACTTGTCGTTTTTCAAAATTTCAAATTTGAAAGGTTCAAATTTTGTCAAATGACAAGATGACTAAAATAAAAGTTGTAGATATTAATGAGTTGAACAACTTTGGTATTCATCACTTTTTATGTTGAAATCATTTTGGGTCTCAAATTTTGGTTCGAACTTATCGTTTTTTAAAATTTCAAATTTGAAAGGTTCAAATTTTGTCAAATGACAAGATGACCAAAATAAAAGTTGTAGATCTTGATGAGTTGAATAACTTTTGTATTCATCACTTTTACATCTGAAATCATTTTGGATTTTAAAATTTGGTTTGAACTTGTCAAATTTTAAATTTCAAATTTTAAAATGTGTAAAACATTGTCATATCCAAGTTTGATCAAACTTAAATGCTGAAGCATGATTTTAGAATTTTTTAGGAAAAAAACCATCCCATTTCAAGTTAGTACGAAGAAAAAACAAAAGAATGAAAAAAAGAATAGAGGAAAAGAAGGGAAAGAAGAAAAAAGGAAAAAAAAAGAAAGAAAAAGAAAACACAACCCACGCACACCTTATTCTAGTCGGCCAAGACCCCAAACCCCCGACCCAACTTTATCCTCTCCACTACTCGCCTCCCCCAGCCCCCACCCGTCTCCTCCGTGCATCCCATCCCTCAGTCTCTGGCGCCCCGCCTTCACCAAAGTTGACGACGGTGACGCTTCAAACCCTTAGGTCACCGCTCCCAGGCCGCATGGGTGGCACACAGCTAGTCTCAGTAGCTGCGTGCTCTGCTGCGCCACCAGGGCGCGCCTTGGTTGGGCGGGCCGGGCATGCCGTGTGCCTTGCCTAAAAATTTGGATTCAGAGCAACCCAGCAGCCCTAGCCGCACCACCCCCCCTCGGCCAAAGCGGGCATGGGCAGCAGCCACACAGGCAGAGCGAGCTCCCAGCCGCGCAGGCGCCCAGATTTGGCCACGACCGTGGGCCCGAGTCCGTGCTTCCCCCTCGTATGCGGTGTTCCCCGCCTGCTTCTCTCCCAACTCGGACATCCATTACTGCGGTGAGCCCCTACTCCTGTTGGATTTGTGCATGGATGGATTATGGACATGTGTTTGGGGATCTAGGGTTAGGGTTTCCGTTGTACGGATCTAGTATTATTTGTGCTACAGCTCACCTGTATGGCCGTATTACAATTAATTAGTGAGCAGATTATTTGCTAGTATGTGCTCTCGAGACTATTTTCATTTGGTTCAGCGGCAATCTAGTTCCTGTTACTCTGAGTCCTAATTGATCAGTAAATACTCTGAGCATCCATTTTTATTTGCTAGTATGTGCATATCTGGCTCCATCCTTTACAACTTGTACTTAAATCAGATATTGTAACTCAGACATGAAATATATTGCTCTGTTTGCAATAAGGTCAGCTCTTGTTGCCAATGACAAAATACAACTTTTTGTGATCTTATTCTAGTGTTTTAGTCCTGATGTAAAAAATGCCACTTGTAGCATACTCAAAATGTTGTAGTACTGTGTTTGAACCGTGGGAGTCAGACCTGATAAATTATCAGAAGAATTTTGTCAGGCCTAATTTTTCTGGGACTGAACATGAAGTCCAATTAAGCTGGTTAGGCTGATACAGTGAAGCTGTAGTCATTCATACTTGGTAATATTTTTAGATACTTGAGTTACCTCTCAGGGAAAATGTTTCTATCGCAACGTTTCTAAGATTGTGTGATTCTGTTCTCTTTGGCAGCGCTGAGGCATTTTCAGGAGGCTTGTCGTCATTACCAACTTGAAGTCGACAACACAAGCCCTGAGATAGGCATGGTCCCTGTCCATGCACTAACCTGTTAGCTTACTGAATGCTGCTGCTTCTCAGTTTCTGACATTGATGTGCTGTTGCAAGCTTAAAATCTACTACTGATTTTTTTTGTGGGATGAAATTAATGCACTAACCTATGTCTGAATTTCAGCTGCTTTCTCCAATTGTTGGCACCTTGCACTTGCACTATCCAAAAGGCAAGAAGAGTTGTGTAATCTTCTCTGTTTTTAGTTGCTGTAGTTGACGATCAGATTGTGTCATTTTTGGATGCTGTAGGATTAAAATTCTGCTTTGGCGTTCTATCCTGCTTTTCATGTGGATATATTTGGCCTCTTTTTGCCAAACATTTTAGTGTGTTCCTCTTTGTAATATGTCTTTTTGTTACCCGTACTTTTATGCATTTTTCTGGTATCTGCAGAACTGCACGGCTGAAAATTTTAGTCAGTTGAAACTTGCTTATTTATCTAGTGCCACCAAAATATCTAATTTGTCTTTGTTTGTTAATAGAACTCTCTTATCTTATGGTAGGGTCTAGTGCATGTTGATGAATTATTATGTTAGTATTTATTAATAGAACAATTATTAGTCAATACTGCTAAACATTTCAGGAGGCTTGTCTTTTTGTTTTCCTTTTTTGATTCTGATTTTTTTTTGGGTTTACTTTATGTTAGGCACCATGTATGAGGAGCCACAAGCTGGGGGACAAGATCGCGACACTTTAGTAGCTAGTCTCGCCATATGGCAAGGTAAGGACCAGCAGCTATTTGCTTTGGGTGCTGATTATTATCTGTCATTACAGGAAGTACATTCCATCGCTGAAAACTGAAATCCGGCGTAGTATACTTTTCTGAAAGCATGTGTAGTAGTACTGTATGCTTTGGTTCAGATCTCAATAGCCCAAGTATAGATATTTTGACCAGACATGCACTAGTGTAAACAAAAGTGACGGTGCCATATTCCTAGGATCCCCGACTACCAGATATGCTAGCTACCGAATCCCGAAGAAGACCTAAAGGTTCACGACTCGCCTATTCAAGGAAGGATATCTGAAGATCACGCCAAGACTCCGACTAGGGCACGACTATGTAACTTGTAGGACAAGTAGGCCTCGAATATAAATAGCTAGTCATCTGACAAAAAGGAATGCTTTTAGCCTAATAAATAGGCTTAAAAAGCTTAGATGATTGCTACAGGTCTGATGGCTTAACAAATAGGCTCAAGCATTACACATTCATTCAGTTTGGTTCTAATCCAACTTTCATTTTATGTGCAGCCATATGTACTTCAACAAGAGCTCTTTCTCTACCTAATTCATTTGTAAAAAAAGAAAAGAATACTAGTGATTCCTTCTATTACAGAATGCCACAAAACTTTAGAAATATCTGCATGTGTAATGAATCTATCTCTTTTGAAATTGGTTTTCCCTGTAGCTGTCCTTGCATGATTGTTCTTAACAATTATTTGTCTCCATAAAGAATTCTTAGCAGTAGCAATATCTGCATATGTAGTTGTGACTGCATTAAATGTACTGAATTTTCAGTATTGGCTAGAGCAAATGTTTGAACTTTATTATTCTAGTTGTATTTACTTGCTGTGATTTTGTAAAACCAGTGTCAAAATGTTTAGTGTGAATTGGTGTACTTCCTAGAAATGCTTAAATATATGTCAGAGTTGAGAAAAAATTGTTGTTACTTGATTTGAATTATATATATATATATATATATATATATATATATATATATATATATATATATATATGGTCAGATTTGAATTTGAATTATTATTATTTTTTTGCTAAAAAATCCACTGTAGGGGCGGTTCTTGATTGAACCGCCCTTACAAATATACATTAGAGGGACGGTGGTGATCTGACCCGCCCTTACAGAAGTCCACTACAGGGTTTGAAAACACCACCGCCTCTACAGAGAGCATTGTAGGGCGGTGAAAACACCACCACCGCCTTCACTGAGGGCAATCGCAGGGGGTGGTAAGAAAACCGCCCCTACAAAGACACCCTCTGTAGGAACACCCTGGGAAAGACGGCTGGCGCAGCCGCCCCTACAGAGGCTCCAGCCGCCTCTACAGAGGCTCTAGAACCGTCCCTATAGTTAAATTCTGTAGTAGCGTGGGGCATGGTGAACGTCTCGAGCCCAGATGGCCGGTGTTGTGGTTCTGGAGGCCATCGTCGTCGTGCCTGACGACTTCGTTCAGGTTTGCATGGTAACCACTGGCTCTGGAACTCCGTTCGTCTCCGTGCTGGACCTGAGGCCTCTCAAGAACTCGCTCTACCCGCAAGTGAACGCGACGCAGGGCTTGGTTCTTCTTAGCAGGATCAACTTCAGCCCTGATACGGACGGTGTCAGGTAGCGATCTATCTATATCTTTATATCTTTATCGATATCAATATCTATATCCATATCAATTAACAAACATATTAATGTTTTGCAACAAGAGGTAAAACTCGTTGCGTGGTCATCTGGATCTGTGCGTTCCAACGATAATGAAGAAACAGCTATCTTTGTTAGATTTAAGTAGACTCGAGACCACCTTATTTCAATTTAATCAAATAAATATCAAGACCCATATGATATATACGTGGAATAGCGAATTAATCCTACATAAAAAAATTGACTTAGAGGTCATTTAGATCCCTTCATTTTGGAAGAATTGAAATCTACTCAATGGATTAGGCTATTTGACTTGAATGGGCCTGTAGTTCAGTGGTAGGTCTGTTCAGGGGGACGATACTCACTGATCGCATCTTTTTATGGATTTTTTATAGAAATTTTAGGGTACACGCACGCGTGCGCGTTCGGTGGTACTGGGCGTTTCTCGCGCACCGGAGGCGACATGCCTCCCAATCTCTTCTTTGCGTGTGTGCGCGCGTGTGGTATGAGTGTGGAGTGTGTGAGTTATGTGCGTCCAAGTTGTACCCAATCAAAAAGAAGAGTAAATTGCATACGGCCGGTCCTTAAAGTATTGGGTGGTTTTTATCTGGATCCCAAAACTACGAAATCGCACGTTTGGCTCCCTAATGTATTTAAGTGATCTCATCCATGTCCAAAATACATAGGAGGAGGGATATTAGAAGTTGACGTAGTCGTCCACGTGGACATGATTTAAGCACAAGACCCCTGAGCCGAGAGTCCCACGGTGCCCAGTGTGGCAGCGTCCGCGGCGGCGCGCAGTTGGAGGTGCTGCTGCGGGTGTGAGGCCGTCGCCGCCGCGTGACTGAGCGCCACGCCGGACGACCGCGGACCAAGCTTCCGCCCACGGGGACCAAGACCCCTCCTTCCACGTCTACCTCACCCCGCCCGCCAGCGCAACCGGCCGCCATTGCCACCTACGCCGTCTTTGTTGGGCCCCGTGTGTTCGCAGGAACATGGTGAGGCCTCCCCACCGCCTATGTGCGTGAGCACCACACTGTCGCCCTGGTGCACCGCACTCGCCGACCACCACCCCTCATGCACTGGCATGACATATGCTCGCACCAGCTAGCACCATGCTCGCTCCTGCACCGACGCTACAAAGCTCGGCCGTCCTCCGCTGAGCTTCTACGGTTCTCACCGCCATCGCCAGCAGGGAGGGGGTTGACAGCACGGACCGCGGAGACCGAGATGAGCCCTTGTGGGGCGTCCGACGCGGTGATGGGGGCGAGGTCGCTCCGCACCGAGATGGGCGCTCCGCCGGTGCCCTGCAGGAGGGGGTCGACGATGACCGGGTCGCACGCCGCGGGCGCCGCGGTGGTGAGCGGGGACGAGCCGGCGGCCGCGCGCGTGGGCTTAAATCAAGGGTCCTGTGCTTAAATCATGTCCACGTGGACGACCACGTCAGCTTCTAATAACCCTCCTCACGTGTATTTTGTACCTAGATGAGATCACCTAAATACATTAGGGATCTAGACATATATTAGGGATACAGACGTGCGATTTTATAGTTTGGGGACCCAGATAAAAACCATCCAATACTTTAAGGACCGGCCGTGTGCAATTTACTAAAATAAAAACTACATGAGCCTAAGTCTAATACCACAATGCACACGTGGGTATGTAACTCGCATTCCATCTTTCTTAACTTCACAACAACATGTGTACATAACAACCATTCATTTAAGCTAAGTCAATCTCAAATGATTTTTCATATGGGTTAATCCTTTAGTACACCTAATATTTATTATAGACCAAAATTTATTGTTTTAGTTAAATAATATTGGGCTAAGCTAATTAAATCCAATAAAGATAGCTATCGCATTATCATTAGCACGGGGTAGTTCAGGTGATCGCGCAAGTTGTATCGTTGCAACCGTTCATGCATGTTTATTACTCCCTCCGTTACAAAATAAATAAAATTCTAGTATCACCATAAGTCAAACTATCTTAAGTTTGACTAACTTTTATAGAAAAAGGTCTTGCTGGCATATATGGCACCAAATAAGTACATGATGAAAATATATTTTATGATATATTTAGTGATATTAATTTGATATCATAAATATTGATGTTTTTTATAGATTTGGTTAAAATTAAATAGTTTAATTACAAGAACTAAAAATTAATTTAAAATTTGGGGAACAAGGGGGTAGTTAAACTAAAAGATCTAAATCTATCACCTCAATTTATCGTTGTACTACCTTATAATAAATAATTTGATAGAGGCACGAAATTCTTTACTTCTTATCTTAAACAATAACGATTGATTAGGTACCCCGATGATCCATACGACAGAGTGTGGTACCCTTGGATGATTGACTCCAGCACGTACGACGTGATATCAACGACGAACAGGGTGCTCAATATAGACAACGATCTCTTCGAGGCGCCATCCAAGGTGATGCAAACGGCGATCACGCCTCGCAATCGCACCCAAGAAAATCGAGTTCTACTGGGACCGCAGGGCGCAGCCCAAGGACCCGACGCCAGACTACATCGTCATCATGCACTTCTCCGAGCTTCAACGCCGTGCGCGAGTTCTACGTTAACATCAACGGCGAGCTGTTTTACTCCGGCGGTGTCACGCCAGACTACCTCCGTAGCAACGCCGTCTTCAACACCGTTCCCTTGCCGAGCTACCCTCGGTACAACGTCTCCATCAACAGCACCGCCAACTCGACGTTGCCGCCTTTCATCAACGCCAACATCTCGACCACCAACTTTGGCACCGACTCCCAAGACGGTATGAGCACGTCGACACATACTCCATCGATTTTCGTTTTTTTGAGTCACGACGATGTGTTTTATATAATTTCAACACATGAGTTTTTTTACACCATAAGATTAAAATCCAATAGCCTCCACCCTTGTTCTACCTTCAGTCTCCACGTATCATAGATCACATATTACAATTTTCTTTATGGGAGGACGAATCACAGCCGCCGCCGAGGCGAGCTCACCGGTCGACGCGCGCCAAAGACACGTAGCGGTATCAAGCGCTTCGAAACTCCAAGTTGGACGAAGGAGATCTCAAGAGGAGTCGCGTCCAACGTCTGGAGTGTCGTCTGTTTGACTCGTTGGCACCGCACTGGATTTCTGGCCGTGACACGACGGCGACCGGTTGGTGGCCGTGAGCCCGTGACACGTGAGGTCGACCATGCTGTCATCTCAGTTGGAGTGGTAGCTGTCTTCGGCACCGCACTGGATCTCTGCCCGTGACACGACGACGGCGACCGGTTGATGGCCGTGAGACTGACACGTGACGTCTGACCTTATATATGAGAAAGAGAGTGGGAGAGAGATAAAAAAAAATCCATGTGTTTTTTTTTACTAAAACACATGTGTGTTGTATAGTATTTCTGTTTTTTTTCGAGCCACAGCGCTCCATCCATTTCATTATTAGGCATGCCACGATAATCAACAGTTAGGCTCACGTCATGTAAAATTTATATACTTATACAAAAAAATACATCATATCTTCATATTCGATAGTATTTTCTTATGACAATGATTTTGTTAACATAAATATTTGAGTATAAGGTAAGAGTGAAAAGGGGGGAAGGCTCATGGATCCCAGTCGATGTCGTAGAGGTGGTGCTCAAGGGTGGAGGCGGTGCTCGCGGACGGTGAACAGGGGTGCACGGGCTGGGGCGCCGATGGTGGTCCACGGGAGTGGCATTGCTCGACGATGTCAATGATCCTCAGAGAGAGAATATACTCCTTCAGTCCCAAATTATAAATCATTCTAACTTTCTTGAAGAGTCAAAACATATCAAGTTTGATTAAAAATATAGAAAATATTACAAAAAATTTATGATATCAAATAGGTATACTATGAAAATATAATTAAGAACCAATCTAATTATACTTTATTTAGTATTATAAATGCTATTATTTTATTATATAAATTTAGTAAAACTTGAGATGTTTTAACTCTCCAAGAAAGTTAAAATGACTTATAATTTGGGACGGAGGTGTAAATTAGGGAGTGGCACGGCAGGGATACAAAACTTTGGAAGGAGCATGCTGGTTATATAGGGACAAAATTTCACTGTCTCAAGTGAAAACAATGCATGGCAGTAATACTCTTATATCACTGCTGGGTTATCCTTGACCTGATAGTGATCCGTGGCCATCATCGTTAGGTTGTATTTTCTTAGCAATGATTCATGTCCGTCACTGTCAGGTTATCCTTAACCCAGCAGTGATTATGTCTATTATGGTCGGCTTGTCCTTGACCTGGCTGTGGTCCGTTCGGTTTCCAAAAAAAATGACCATCGCATCCAACCACCTTCCTCCACAAACTTATATAAGTAGGCTACATTAGGCCAATCTCAATGGGAATTTCATAGAGTTTTATGGGTATTAAATGCGCTGATATGACACTGTGTTAATGAAAAGAGATGATAAGAGTTTCATGGGAGTATAGAGAGTTTCATGAAGATGAAATTCTTTTGCACTGTTTTTCAAAATATGGATGTGTTGGAAACTGCACCATGAAATCCCCATTGAAACTGGTGAAGCTCTACTCTGGTGAAGTATAAGCGGGGAATAGCATGGCTATCTGCATGAGGGAGTGAGCAACCATTGTAGCAATGAGACAAGCGTCTCGAGCCATTCTCATAAGCGACTGTGAGCAATGCTCGGGCACCTTCGCTGTTGCGTAGACCGCCCAACCATTTCTTGCTAGAGTTTTACATGTCTGGTTGTCCTTGGCCCAACAGAAATTTTGTTTTAATCCTTGTTTCTTGTGAAAATATTATAAATGTTAGATCTCTTCAATAAATATTAGGAAACATATTATTGCCAATACATTGTAGCAATGAGACTCAAGCGTCTCGAGCCATTCTCATAAGCGACTGTGAGCAATGCTCGGGCACCTTCGCTGTTGCGTAGACCGCCCAACCATTTCTTGCTAGAGTTTTACATGTCTGGTTGTCCTTGGCCCAACAGAAAATTTGTTTTAATCCTTGTTTCTTGTGAAAATATTATAAATGTTAGATCTCTTCAATAAATATTAGGAAACATATTATTGCCAATACATTTTATAGGTGGTTATTAGGGGAGAGGGGATAGATCTCCTACATTTAAGAGATAGTAGGGTGGGTTTTCAATAGTTATTTAAATTTTTTCAATATTGTCGATAGGATGAATAATCTTCTAGAGCAACCTCAATCGCTCGTATATATTGTAGTTTTTCATTGGGGATTAGATAAATTAATAAACTATTGAAGATGCTCCTAAACCATTTGTAGTTCATACCATCAACCTCAAGTTAACCCTTTTACGTGAAGCGAGAATGAAAACAAATATGTGTGATGAAAATATATGGTTCCTAGTGGGCAGAGTTTAGCCGTTTGTACTCATTACAATCATTATTGCACATTGCATTTATTATAGGCTAAGGCCAATTAAATCCTTTATACTAATTGATATTGATATGGGCATATCCAAGTAACTAAGCAACAAGTTATATATTCTGTTGCAACGCATGAACATATTTGCTAATCAAATTCTAAATGTTGAAGCTAAAGTCAGATATTTTTGCAATATGAGTTTGGAAATTCTGATTTAACATAGTGAGGAACAAACAACATCTATGTAGCTCTAGTTGGAAGCAAAATCTAAAACTTTGTACATAGTTCTAGGATGGGAAGTTTCAGTGACACAGACTACAAAACAAGATTGCCAACAACAAACAACTAATCGCAATAATTAAAAGCCAAGATTCAAAATAGAGATAACCATGAGAGAGACTAAGGACCTATTTGACCAGACTCTTTCTGGCTCCGGCTCTAGTCCCATGCCACAGCAGCTAAGAGCCAGAGCCTTAGGAGCAAGAAAATAGTGGTTTCTCTAGGCTCCTAGATTATTCGGAGAAAATAGAAGAAGAAAAAGTAGTCTTTATAAACAGTGCCATAAACAATGCAGGAGATAGAGAAGCCAAAGCCGATAACGGGGCCTAGTTTATTTCACGAAGTTTGGACTCCAGTTGCAAGTTGCAGCTAGCACGAGAATTCATTCTATTCATTCACTTCGTTAGTCTCGGTATATATTTTCTTTGTATTCTGTTTCTAATAGGTGTTATATTTGGGTACAGTATCTGCCATCACCGCGATCAAGGCGAAGTATCGTGTGCAAAACGAACTGGAATGGAGACCCATGTGCCCCGAAGACTCTTGCGTGGGATGGGTTGACTTGCAGCTATGCGACATCCAATCCGCCAAAAATCACCGGCGTGTAAGTATTCTTAGAACATTTGCCTGTTTGTGCCCAACAAGTCACCATTCATGTGAAGACAAATGGACTCGTTGGCCTATATATCTTAGAACATTTAATATCTTATGATGAAAATTCAAAAAAATATATCTTATGACGATGACAAATAAAAAAAAAAGGAAAAGCAATTCCAACCCGTAAACAAGAGATTGATCTATTTCAACATTTAATTTCTTTGGGGTATGGAATTTTTAATAAATTGTGTTTGTTAAAAGAATAAATGTGGGTGAGGACAATATGCACACATAATTCCATGCCTTCAAACTTACTATTTGGAATTGTTGATAATAAAAGAGGTTTCAAAAGTTTTACCAAGCTTTGCCTAGCTACAAAGTGATGTAGGAGTATTTGTGAATAGAGAGAGAGAGTAATTAGTACTCCATCTGTTTCAAATTATAAGTCGCTTTGACTCTTTTGATATATAGATTTTGTTAGACATATATTACATCTAGATACATAGCAAAATTTATGTAACAAAAAGATCAAAATGACTTATAATTTGGAACGAAAGGAGTATCTTATTAGATCAAGAGAAAAGGCTAAGGTTAGACTTTTCTTCAAAGGAGAAAAGAGATTTATTCCCCATTATTATTATTATTATTATTAGTATTGTTGTTGTTGTTGTTGTTGTTGTTGTTGTTGTTGTTGTTGTTGTTGTTGTTGTTGTTGTTGTTGTTGTTGTTGTTGTTGTTGTTGTTGTTGTTGTTGTTGTTGTTGTTGTTGTTGTTGTTGTTATTATTATTATTATTATTATTATTATTATTATTATTATTATTATTATTATTATTATTATTATTATTATTACAAGAAATATAAACAAATCAATACACTATCTGGGACCTAAGCTCCCGAAGAAAGCTATAAGGATGCCGAGCACAAAACATAAACCCAGATATATAGAGCTGCAACTGGGAAAATGAAAAAAAAACAAATAAAAAATCAACACTGAGTAGTCTGCAAAGAAAACGCCTAAACGCCATGGTTGGAGATTGAGATGGCCAACTGGTGCAACTAGATGGCCTCATTGATCAGACAAGCGATGTTTTCCGGTTGTTAAGAAACTTGTTGAAATGTCATCCTGTTGCCTTTTTTTTCTTCCAAATCTTCCATCAGAAATGAACTATCACGCCATCGAAGCTTATATAGTACTGAATTGTCAAATATTTGTAGGAACATATCCTTCAGTGGTCTGAACGCGGACATATCCAGTTTGTTCGTTTGTTGGTTTTAACTAGGACTTATCAGCCAGCCAACAGTATTTTCTTCTCACAACAAACCAGCACCAACCGGACTTAGTAGCCCAGAAACCAACCAGCGAACAGGCCGATCATCTTTCGTTGCAAATCTCAAGGCCGTCCAATATTTGTATGTGTAGATCAGTTCTCGATCTGTTCCGTTCCAACAAAATGATTTCTTGATGATCTCTGTAACACATCATGACCCGTACATATACTATGCTGCAGGAATCTATCGTACAACTTGACAGGCTCAATTTCTGATGTGATTTCACAATTATCTTCACTAACCGTTCTGTAAGTATCTGACCTATAGAATTTGCCTTGTCCAGTTGTCTGGCCCCAATGCATGACGTTAGCTAACGTCACACGCATTTTGGTTCTTTCAGGGATTTGACAGGCAACCAGCTCAGCGGATCAATCCCCCCTGAACTTCTGAAAAGAAGTCAAGATGGCTCCCTAAATCTACAGTACATCCGATCCCGTAATTGTCTTTAATTCGGTTATCATAGAAGCATATCTCTTGTTTTACCATGACAGTTCGATGAAAACTATTTTTGTTTTATCTCGCTTGTCTGTAGGTATGGAAATAACCCAGACCTTTGCACAAACCCCGATTCATGTCCGAGCCCGAGAGCGAAAGGGAAAAGCCCAAGCTTGCCGTCAGCCGGCTTATCAGCTAAAATCTACAGTATTTTTTTTTCACAATAAATTAGCTAAGACCGGCTTATCAGCCTGGCTTTAATACATCGGTTGTGGTGATAGGACTGACGGCAATACTATTGTTTTACTTCCTGAGATGGAAAAAGCAAGGTGGCACACCAACTGTCTGATCCAATAGCAGTTTAATTTACTCACATGAACACACACACACCGATGACCTGATCAAGCAATTCGGATTGTTTGCCCATTCAGAATCAAGGACCAACACCGTGAAGCCTCAAAATGAGACGCCGGTGAGCCATGTGCCACCAGCAGCAGGTGACGCGCACGCGCAGAGCTCACTGCAGCTTCAGAACCGTCGGTTCACCTACAACGAATTACAGGCCATAACGAACAACTTCGAGCATGTGCTCGGCAAAGGAGGGTTCGGAAAAGTCTACAGTGGCTTCCTCGAGGATGGTACTCAGGTGGCGGTCAAGCTACGGGTCTCAGACGTCCAACCAGGGTGTCAAGGAGTTCCACGCAGAGGTATATTTTTTGAGTCGTTCTATTATTTACCTATCGACAGATTTCTTGGGGGCAATATATCAAAGGCAGGAGAACTTGTTCAATCAATGCTTCTTCTTTTTTCTCGTCCTATGAAATAAAAATCTGTCATCAGACGTGTATATAGACCCATAATTTTTCTGTAGAATTTGCCTCAAGAAATTTCACGGGTGGAAATCGTTGATTGTTCAGGCTCAAATATTAGCACGGATTCATCACAAGAATCTCGTGTCCATGATTGGCTACAGCAGGGATGGGCAGCACATGGCACTTGTTTACGAGTACATGTCAGGAGGCACCCTGCATGAGCAGATTGCAGGCATGTCTCATGAGAGTTTAAAAGCAGGTTTTTTTTTAACAAAACTGGCACGATTTCATTATTTGCGTAAAGGAGGAGAGAATTATATATGCCAAATTAAAAGAGTTACAAAATCAAAGAGATCTGCTCATGCAACCCTTGCGACATTTCTGTGACAGTTCGATTACGCGGCACATTTCTGTGACACCTCTGTGATAGTTCCAAGATTAAGTGTTCCTCTTTTTTTTTTTTGAAAGAAAAGATTAAGTGTTCCTCATCAGCTGAATGGTCACTTATGAATTGCCTCTTCTGATATGAATTGCTCGCTCTATTGATCTGTTTGCAGGAAACAGCGGCAATAGAAGATGCTTAACCTGGAGACAGAGGCTTCGAATAGCACACGAATCAGCGCAAGGTACTTATTTTTAAATTCTATGAGTATGGCAACTGATATTGCTTCGGTTTTTCTACATATAAGCCTCAAAACACTCGTTCACGCGCGTGAAGGGCTGGAGTATCTACACAAGGGCTGCAATCCACCTCTCATTCACAGGGATGTGAAGGCAACTAACATCCTACTGAATGAAAAACTGGGAGCCAAGATTGCCGATTTCGGCTTGTCCAAGTCTTTCAATCACGACACTAGCGCGCAGTCCACAAACTCACTCGTTGTTGTTGGCACACTCGGATATGTTGATCCAGAGTATGTGAATCCCAAAACCCATTACCAAATCTCCATGTTTCCTGCTTTCTGTTTTCTCGGATAATTTGTTGATGCAATCGATCTAAATGCAGGTACTGTAGACCAAGGAAACCAACGGCAAAGAGCGACGTATACAGCTTCGGCGTCGTGCTCCTGGAGTTGGTCACAGGGAGACCGGTCATCCTTGATGACCCAGAGCCCACCAACATAATCGACTGGGCACGTCGGCGCCTGGCACGGGGCAACATTGAGGGCGTCGTGGACGCACGCATCCAAGGGCATGGCAACTACGACGTCAACAGCGTGTGGAAGGCCCCGGACATTGCACTCAAGTGCACAGCGCAGGAGTCGACGCAGCGGCCGACGATGACAGAGGTGGTGGCGCAGCTGCTGGAGTGCCTTCAGCTGGAGGAGGGCCACCACGCCGGCGGCGACGACGCGGCAACCGGAAGCTTCTACACCGGCACCAGCCGCGACCCAAGCTCGGCCGCTGACGGCCAGTCCGTGGACACGAGCCAGAGCAGCACTGCATTTGAGATGGAACAAAATCTCAGGAGGGTGCCAAGAATGGACGACACATCAGGTCCTGTTGCACGATGGCGTTATGCTCTTGCGGTTTTCAATGCCGTCAGTTTACAAAGGAAGCAGCGTCGAGTGTATACAGTCTTGGTTTGTTGAGACGATTCTAGCTGATTTGGTTGATTTTGTGTTGAAGTTTTGACCTAAATAAAGAATGATTGTTGATAATTCCTTTTCTTTTTCAGTTTAATTTTTGGTCATGGAATCGATATGCATTTGTTGTGAGAGAAAACACGATTGGCTAGCGGATAAGAACCTGGTTGAAACCAACAAGCATAGAACAAGCTGATTATAATCGTGTCATGTCCATATATTCAAAGTATCTAGTAGTTTTAAAATAATTGTATTGCTTTATATATAAAGAGTAAAATTCGCTTGTTGGTTTCAAATACCAGACATACAACAGCAATAGTCAAAACAACAACCGTTGACCCAAAAGCCAACACCATTATTTTCCTCTCTCACAAAAACCTAGTTGAGGTAGATGTGGATGGCCACCAAGGCCCTCAAAGGGGGTCATCTCAAGCTTCCTCCTCCTCCTCCTCGAGAAAGCAAGACCAAAGTGACCAACAAAGGAAGTGCCGAATAAGTGTGTGAAGTTTTGACCTAAATAAAGAATGATTGTATGCAGTTCCTTTTCTTTTTCAGTTTAATTTCTGCACAAGACCTTGGAATCGATATGCATATACTGTTTTATAATTGGTTCTATTTCCAAGGAAGGACACTCAATTCAGTTACTAAAAAGAAATAATGATTATACTCAGCTGAGTTTTTTTCTTCGTTTCTTTTTATCTATAGTCAGTTGAGTGTTGATTGAATGTTAGAAGCGAATATGATCGTGCTCCGTTGAGAGGAGTAAGGTGATGACTGATGACCGCATAGATATCAGGGTCTTGTTTGAATGCAAAGTATCTAGTAGTTTTAAAATAATTGTATTGCTTTATATATAAAGAGTAAAATCCATTTCAGCCCTCCATCTAAAGTTGTCTTCATATTTAAAAGACCTCTTCAATTCAAATACCAGACATACAACATGCCCGAATAGTCAAACCCGTGCAGAGTACACCCCCAACACCGCTTGCAAGTGGTTTTGACCAGAGTCACCAGCCACATCAGCAGCACCCGCCACGTTGACCCATCCACATCGCTACGACCCTAATGCCCCCGGTCGTCTGCCGCCTTCTCTCTACTACCACCATTATCCCTCCTTTCTTCTTCTTTTGCGCAATGTGGCAGCGCCCGCTACCCTAGTTGAGGTAGATGTGGATGGCCAGCCCAAGGCCCTCAGCAGGGTCATCAGGTGGAGCTTCCTCCTCCTCCTCCTCGAGATTGGAGGGCCAGGGCCCGCTGCATCTTTGATTCCATATCGGGAGGGGCCAATGGAGTACTTATCCTACTTGTGGCGTTGCAGGAAGAAGGCTGCTAGATGGATTTTATGGAGTGACGAAAACCTAGGCAGGAGGTACTATGAATGCCTAAATTTTTTGATCCAAGCATTGCCAGTTTGGTGAGTAGTTGAGGGTTTTGGTTCTTAGAGCAAGACTAATAACACAACCAATTATTGGTTGTATACAAACTTACAACCCACCTATCAGCCCACTTATATAGTGTTAGCTCACCTTTGATCCACTTGTTCCTCTCACAGGGTTTCTTGGATCTTGTGCATAAACTGGTTGTAAACTTGCAGCCCGCTTCTCTTCTCTCTCATCTCCTCTCTTCCACCTCAGCATTCAACCTACTTACAACCTTTTATTATACCTTATCTCAAGGGTTTAATGTGGTTTCTTGTAGGCTGGTGGATGTGATTTGTGGATTTGGTATGAGCCCTCGTTAATAATTCCATTTGCGAAGCATCGTCGATTGATCTGTGAGACATGGTGTGACATTTGAGAATGAGAAGGGAAAAGTTAGATTCCTTGGTTGCATTGGGCGAAGCAAGTCCCTAGGGAGAAATTAGATGCCCGCCCACTCACCTTCCTCCCTTCTAGAGCGATAGAGAGGGTGGACGCCAGACGAGGGTGGAGACTATTGAGCCGTATGGGCCCATCCAAGTGAAAAAAATACTTCCATATCCATTAATACATAACACAGTAACTTATGCTCAACACTCATGACAGGAGAACCCTAAATTCAAATCGTTGATCTATTTAGAACATTTAATTTCTTCTAACGACAAACAGAAAGTAGCTATTCTATATGTTAAAAAAATTTGTTTAGTACTCTCTCACGTCCTAAAATAAGTGATGTCTTATGTTTGTTCTAAGTAAAATAATTTCAAGTTTGACTAAATTTATAGAAAAAATATAAATGTTTATGACACCGAATAGGTAGAATATGAAAAATATATTTTATAATAAATATAATAATACTTATTTGGTATCATAAAAATTAGTATATTTTATATAAATTTGGTCAAACTTGAAATGAGTTGACTTAGGACAAACTAAAACATCACTTATTTTAGGACGGATTGAGTATCTCACAATCAATGTTCGCTTAAACTTATCAGGCATGGTACAATGGTTTTCTCTCACAACAAATCAACATCAGTCAGCTTATCAGGGCTGAGATTATTTACGAGAAAAATATGCTCATATAATTCCATGCTTCAGACTAATAAGTATTTAAAAATTATACGGATAATAATAAACACTTTTCATACCGATACAGAAATATTATACAACACATATGTGTTTTAGTAAAAAAAAACGCACGGATTTTTTCTCTTTGTCTCCTCCAGCTCGCTGAGGCTCGATCCGATCCTAGTAGTGATATCAATCTACTAATGGGATAAGAAATTCTTGTTCTCAAACTTTGATATGATGCACGAGGAGGCAGTGGAGACCTAAAAAGGGTTAAGGACGCTGCTGCTTGCTTGCTCGCACTGCGTGTCCCAGGTCAGATTTGGCGGGACACGCACGCTGCCTGCTGGCTGGACCTGCTGGCTGGACGAAGCATGCACGCGTCTGCTGGCTGGACAGGTCTCTCCTCCTCCTCCTCCTCTGCCCATTTGTGATTTGTTCTTCCATAGAAAAAATTATTTTTCATAATCTGTAGATATATGATATTGTGATTTGTGATTGTCTGGAGGTAGAAGAAGGCTAGATGCTGAAGGTAGAAGGAGAGTGAAGGCTGTTGGATCTTAATTCTATTGTGCAAAAAAATAATGTACTAAAACTATATAAAATACATAGTTGTTGATAGACAGACTAATTACCCAGAATAGTGTTGTCCCTGAACCCTAGCAAAACCTCCCCTGCGGCCCTGCCTGTTTCTAGCCCACGAGTGAAGGCCCATAAAAAAAAGGAACTAGGGCATGCTTTTGCTCCCGTCCTACACCCCGTTGCCTCGTGACCGCGCCCAAAGTCCCGAACTCCCGAGGCGTCGCGCCGTCGCCCATCACGGACATCGGACGGGAGAAGAGAAGCGGGGAGCACCGGAGCAGGCACCACCGCCGGGGCGTCGAGGTCGCCGCGCTCGCTGTCCGCTGAGGTAGCTGCGCTCCGGCCTCCGCGGCTGCCGGCTCCGCCAACGCCCACCGGCCACCGCCCCCAGGCGTCCAGCCACTGCGCCTCTGGTCCTCCGGGGCTTCAACTCCAGCCCGTCAGTTCCCAGCCGGCCCTCCCTCGATTCCTCTCCCTCCCCAGCTCCCTCAGTTCTGATATGAGGACCACCGGTCTCCAGATTTTATTTTTCTTTAGGAAAAAATTAAATAAGTTTAGCTGAGAACAGTTAATCGAAGATATTGGTGTCTGCTACCTGATTGTTGCAGCCCTTGCTTTGAGACTGTCTGAGGCTTATGATATTTTGTGGTACATGGATCCAAGTAGGAGTGTTAGACTATTTGAATTGCTCACTTGCACAAAGTTTTCTATATCGCATTTGATTGTTGAGCAGTGCTTTTAGTTACATGCTCTTCCAAGAAGTAAAAAAGCACATTTTTTTTAGATTACAGTCTTGTTTGCAATTTCATATTAACACCAGGTCATAATACATGTATGTTTTTCTAGGGTGTGAACTGATTCTCTAGCAATGCTCTTTTCCTTCTGCAAATGTGTGAAAATATAGGCAGGCCTAACTTATAAGGATGGGCATTGCTTAAAAACTGAATAGATCTTTGCACCAGGACTGCGACATATCTGTTAGAAATTTTAGTTCAATCATTATATCTATTAGAAATTCTATCTTCATTTTAGTTATTTCTATATGTAACATTAATGGGTCGCCCTTGGGTAGGAGTATAATGGTTAGTTTTCACTGCTAGGTAGAGGCCCTAGTCTTGAGCAAATTCTGGGTCCGCCACTGCCTGCAGTGCTGCACTTAGTTGACCACCATCAGCGACGGTAGCGACTAGCGAGTAGTGACGGTTGCTTCCTGGACGTCATCCAGGGGGCACACCAGCTAGGCACGCTGCGAGATTTGGGGCATCTCAAGGCAGAGGCGGCAGCCGGCAGCAGCAAGGTGTGGTTTGTGCCAATTTTTTGTGATGTAAGATGGATTAGAGAGAGTTTCAAGTGAATTCCTGCCAATTTTTTTAATTTGAATTTATTTACATTTAGTCCGAAATTTGGTGCTCCAATCTGACATTCATTGTTTTATTTTGTTCTTTGGTATGCAGTAAGTACGGGTCGCCAGGTGTTCCCCTCACCGTGTGATAGTGTGATGGTGATGGACTTGGATGAGCCGCTCGACGCGGCGGCCGCCGAGAAGGGCGAGGCGGCGCTGCGTCGGCTGAGCAAGGCCGACCCGGCGCTCTTCCTCTCCCCCTCAGTGGACCTCGCCGCCGCCGCCCGAGCGGCCTCGCGGCACATCTACTCCTCTCTTGCGCCGCTCTCCCTCGCTCAGCCGCCGCCGCTTCCTACCCTCCTCGTGGACCCCGCCTTCGACGCCGAGCAGATTTGGTCCCAGATTGAGCTGCTCACCCGCCCGCTCCTCCCCCACCTGCGCCGCCAGCTCCGCCGTCTCGAGCAGCAACCCCCCTCACAACAGCCTCCTGTGGCGACGCCTGCTGTTGCCGAGGGTGAGCTGTTGGAGGAGGATGGAGAAAGTAGTGAATCAGAGGAGTTGAAGAATGAGGAGGAGGAGTTGGAGGGGACAGAGGATGAGGAGGAGTCGGAGGGGACAGAGGATGAGGAGGAAATGGGCGAGGAGGAGGAGGAAGAAGCGGAGCTGGATGGGAGAGGAGGGAATGGGGTGGAGGATAAGTTCCTGAAGATAGATGAGTTGACGGAGTTCCTGGAGAAGGGTGAGGAAGAGGAGTATGGTGGTGGTGCCAAGCGGAGAGAGAAGAAGGCGGCAAAAAACTGGATGGTTGAGAGTGATGGTGAGGATGACGATGAGGATGAAGACGAGGACCAATTGGATGTAAGGCCTTCATGGTCATTCTCTCTTTTTATTTCCCAATTGTAGCGAGATTATGTTTAGTGTTTTTTATAGATTATAGAAAACAATTAAATAGAACCATAAGTAGGCAGTATTTCAAGAAGTGAAGCTAGAATTTCTGTTAGCTGTGAAAGGGGAAGTAACTCAGCATCTAGAGATACTTCAGAAAATTAAGCAAGTTCTTAGATGTGATAAGGCTTTTGTGGTCAATCTCTCTTTGTCGCTCTGTCTCAGCTATAGCAAATTAATATTTAGTTATTGTATAGAAAACAATGGTTAACAATCTGAAGTAGAATTGCAGCCAAAATTTCTGTTAGATGGGAAAGGGAAAGTAACTCAGCATGTAGAGCTCAGAAAACTCATTACTGATATGAGTTTTGAAGCAAGTTTCCTGCCTGAATTAATGATCTTGTTTTGGTAGTTACAATGTCCAATACTGTAAGTTTTATGAAACCATATGTTAGTCAAGATATTATTCTTGTTTAGCTTCAACACTGATGCTGTTATCTGTAGTTAGAAGATTTTGAGGATGATGACGAGGAGAGTGAAGCAGGCGGTGGAGATATTCGGTAAGCCTTTCATGCTAGTTATTGTGATTGGTGCAAATCACTTTGGATTGGACTTCTCAGAAACGTTTAGCATTTGTATACTGGACTTGAGCTGTATGTTAACTTTATTTTCACTATTGTGGCATCATTCAGATTGAATACTAGATAACTGGCTCTCGTTGATAATATCTTAGGAAGGTGCAGAAGTAGCTAATATCTTTGTTCTTAATGCACAAACTGGACAAAGTGTAGCCACTGTAGTACTTGGAATGCATCTGCAGATAGAATACCATTTGGCACTGTTATCTGAACAGCAAAGGGTTTTTCCAGTTATATAGATTTTTTTGAGAAGGGACATAACAAGCAAGTTAAGAAGAGAGATGGTTCCATAAAGAAAGTTCAATTCAAGGATGATCAAGCACATGAATCTGAACTTGATGACAGTGAGAATGATGATGGAAATGTTGGTTCCACCCTAGATCGATTCATTTCAGTTGGAGCATGCACATATGCTAGCTTGTCAACAGTTTGTCTTTGTACAGGATGATCAAGAGCAAGGTCTCTCAACTCATGAAAAGGAGCGTCTGAAGATGCGTGCTAAAATAGAGCAAATGGAGAAAGCTAGCCTTGAACCCAGCACATGGACCATGCAGGGAGAGGTTCTAAATATAATGCATTTTATTCTACTTTCAACTATGCATTATTATGAATTGATGATGTTATTACATTTAATTGTAAATAAACTAAATTGTTTTTTGTAGGTTACTGCTTCTAAGAGGCCCAAAAACAGTGCCCTAGAAGTGGACCTTGATTTTGAGCACAATGTAAGACCTGCCCCTGTAATCACCGAGGAAGTGACAGCTTCCCTTGAAGAAATGATAAAGAAAAGAATCGCAGAGGTACATGTTCTGTTTTTTTTCCCTTTTGCTCATGTATATGGTGTTCAACTTCAGCTATGGTAGTATAGTGCATTGTTTGCAATGAATAAATCAGACAATCACTTTCTATGTTTCTGTTATTAATATTTAGATTTGATCTCCTGGTTCCTTACAGAGTCATTTTGATGATGTTGAGAAACCTACTATGTTGCCATCTAAAGCTCCAAAGGAGCACAAGGAACTGGTATGCCAACTAAAATTCTTACGTGGGAGCCATAAGATGACTCTGCTATTGGTATCTTACTGTTGTGATTTTTGTTCCATCAGGATGAAACTAAGAGCAAGAAGGGTCTTGCTGAACTCTATGAGGTTCGCACTATACCAATATTTTTTATTTTCTATCCATACTGATTGAGATTGACATTAGTATGTTAATCAATTTACTGTTGATTTTATTCTTCCAGGATGATTATGCGCAAAAGGCAGGCATTGCACCTGCCCCTCTTTCTATTTCAGATGACCTAAAGAAAGAGGTGAGTAATTATTGGCTCCTTGCTAGAATACAAGGGAAGATGGCTTTATATATTTGTGAAATTAGTATTAGTGCTCTTTACCTCAATTGTTGTCAACAATCTAATACTACATTTGTGTTGATTTGAAAGCAAGTGTATTTTACAGAATAATTTTTTCAGTGTCTTTCTCGAGAACCATGGCAGATGTTACTTTCTCGAGAACCATGGCAGATGTTACTATTCTCATATATATGAACAAGTTCTTGTACTCTTCTGTTTATTTTGATCACTGCAATATAACTACTTGGATTTGTAGTTTGGCTTTGTTATAGTTTGCGATATAATTTTCACATAAAGAAATAAGCTATTGACAATGGTGTTTGGCCATGGTTTATTTGCCGTATGCCATGAAATTGCCTATCAATTATAGTTGTTCTATTGGACCAGTTGCATTAGATTCTAAAATAACTTGTTAGACAAACAAGAACTGGATTCTTCATGTTTTTTGAGGTGTCACCTAGGCATCCAGGCGTGCCCCCCAAGGCCCCAATGACGCACACAAGGCACCACAAGGCCCGCTATGGGCTTACACCTTGTCACTTAGGCAGTGCCTACACCTCCTGGCATGCTCCCAATGCCTTAGATGCCACAACACCTAAAAACCATGTGTTTCTTTTATTCAGTTACTACGGCTGTGTTTTGATAAGCATATAGTTATATACTTATATATAGATAAAACTTGGTGCGTTACATTATTTGGGTAGAATTACTACATTGGTCTTGTTCGCTCACTCTGTTGATGCTATATGTTTTTTTTTTCTGTTGATGTTTTATGTTAGCTATAAGTGTGTACTAATGACTAACTGTTCCTACCCAGGCAAATACTTTATTTAAGCGGATATGTTTGAAATTGGATGCGCTATCACATTTCCACTTTGCTCCAAAGCCAGTAGGGATAACTTCAAAATTCATATTTGCGATCTCTTTTGCTAAGTACTTTCTATGTATGAAGTGAAATATTGTCTTTTCAGGTCATTGAGGATATGTCTGTACAAGCAAATGTGCCTGCTTTAGCCATGGAAGAGGTACACAAATTCTTCACTTTTCCCTGTGATGTTGCTCTATCAGAGTGATTTGTGTAGTGATGATCTCTGTCTTTCAGATTGCACCTGTAGCCGTTTCTGATGCGGCAATGCTTGCCCCTGAAGAGATCTTTGAAGGAAAAGGTGATGTTAAGGAAGAGGGGGAACTTACACAGGCTGAGCGCAAGAGAAGAAGAGCTAACAAGAAAAGGAGATATGCAGGTAACTTTTACCTTGGCCCTTGAGAATAAACGAGGATGCCTTTCTGCTCTCAATCTCATGCACTCTGGCTTTTTGCAAGGACATCTAAAATCAGATAAATGCACTTTACTTCCTCAGTTGTGTTCAAGATGGACATTCAATGATTTTTTGTTTCCTTTTCCTTGAAATGCAGCATCCCATAAGGAGAGGCCAGCGAAGTTGCAGAAAGAATAAACTCAATGTTAGTGAACCATATAAGTTTCTCATTAGTTTTAAATGGCATACAAGAGTAATAATACAAATTTTCCAAATTTTGTATTGTACCCTCTACTATTAGCTTTTACATGAACAGTAAATTGTGAGCATTTATATCTCTACAGAAGCACACAAGAAGATCGAGAGTTTTGATTTGCTAATGTGCAATTTTGAGAGTGCAAAAAAGACTTGCGTCTGTCGAACACTCTGAACCCGCTAGAATGCTCATCCTTCGTCCTAACCGATGGGTTTGGTTACAAGTTGCGATTCACTACATGTATAATTTTCTTTGCAGCTGTTGCAAATGAAAGATAAAGATGACTAATCATTATTCAAGTTAATTTATTCCTAAACAAGTTTATCTTTTTTTTTTTGGCAATGTAACCACGTTCCTTAGAAGATAATGTATCCATGTGAAATAATTTATTTGATATGTGCTATGAAGCAAGAACACAGAATAGTGTACAAAATTAAGTTACACAAAATAATGCGCAAAAGTTAAACCACACTCTGATAAAACTTTGCATCCAAGGATATATTGAAGAGTCTAGAATCCCTTGTATAGTAACAAGCTTTGTAGTCTGTGTTTTTGTTATTTGTCTATAAATGACAGAAGATTGTTATAGATGGCAACCGTACACAAAACGTTGACTCAACAATATTTAAAGTAAAAAAGAATTATAAAATCCCTCACACCATAGCTAAATCTATCTGTATCTATTTCTATGTATTATACATACTATAAATGAGATGTATTTCTATCTATTATAGACTACTCGAGTATAATCCTTCATTGTTAGACTATTAGAGTCTAATCCTTGATTGTTGAGGTGATTTATCATTGATTTGTTTGGTCAAGGACCCGGCCTGCAGCACAGACAGCCCGGGGCTGTGTCCGCAACTAACAAGGTGTTGCCTAGCGATTTACCATGTCATTTGCCCATGTTGGTGTTTAAAAGGTGGATAAGACGCTTACGTAATGGACCCCGCTGTATATATACCTAATGATTTAAGTCCACGAGCAAGTAGCAACCTAATGCCGTTCGATCTCATCTTCTTGTACCTCTGAACGCGTTCAGACTTCGGTTCTTGTTCGGAACAGGAAAGCTGCATCCCTATTATGCACTCATGGTACATGACGATTCTGGGCAGGGAGCTGCTGAAAAACTGAGAGGCTCCGCCGTTGCTTTTGAACATCTCTAAAATTGGCTTGATGCTCAAACAAATAGGGTCTGAGGGTTGGTTTGGTCACTTCGCCAGGTAAGGATGCAAAGCAAGACGACTTATTTGCCAGATACCACAGAACCCATGCAAACGAGATTTCCTTGCTAGTTCAAACAAACCGAAATGCCTCGCTCATCCTGGCAAGTAAAAGCTTGCCCAGGCGAGCGAGGCGAGGTGACGCATGTCGGGCGGAAAGAAATGGGCCGCGGTCCAGAAATGAAGAAGCCTCAAGCGACGGAATCAACTTTCACTTAAGCCCACGGATCCAGCGGCCCAGCGTGAGAGGCGGAGCTCCATGGCCTTTTTCTCTCCATCCCAAGCTGCTGCACGCGCGCACCGCCCCTCGCCGCCGGCCTCTGCTCCTCTTCCTCCGCCGCAGCTGCAGGAGCTAAACCTCGCCGGAGACCATGTACCGCGCCGCTGGGAGACACCTCCGCTCCCTCAAGGTTCGGCCCTCCTACTCTCCCCTACCTTCCCCGTTGCATGCACGTCTCGATCCACTCGGGTATGAGCGCACTTAGGTTAGATCCGAACGGGTCGCGGGAGTCGATTTGGTCATGTGGCGATGAATCAGAAGCTGGGTTCTTTAGTCCTACTTCCGTGTAGGGACACAAATGAATCGAATTCGGAGTTATAAATTTTTTTCTTAGTTACGAATCCCATGGGGATGGAATACGGCAGGTAGCTTTGATTGTTATCGATTTTCATATTTGTCTCGCAGTATTAGATTTCACATGCCCTAGTTTGTGTTTCGTTGACGCGTTCTGTAAGCCTGAAGACATATTCCATTCTTGTATTGTTTCCAATTTTCAGCATCATGGTGCTTCTAGGTTTGCCAGCACTAGTGTTGTGAAGCAGTCCTCAGGTGGTCTGTTCAGCTGGCTTCTTGGTGGAAAATCAAGCCAACTCCCTCCCCTTGATGTTCCGCTCCCAGGCATTACCATTCCCGCACCTCTACCAGATTTTGTAGAGCCATCTAAGACAAAAGTCACTACACTTCCAAATGGCGTCAAGATTGCCTCGGAGACATCATCGGTATTGTTCTGCTCTCACATATGTTAAAGTTCTGGTTTTGTTTTGTTTTGGTTTGTTTTGTTTTGTTTTCTTTTCCATATGACATCAATGTTTTCTTGTGGACTTAATTTCAGAGCCCAGCAGCATCTGTGGGTCTGTACATTGACTGTGGTTCCATTTACGAAACACCTGCTTCATCTGGAGTATCGCATCTGTTGGAGAGAATGGCTTTCAAGAGCACAGTGAATCGGACTCACTTACGGTTAGTTCGTGAGGTGGAAGCCATTGGAGGAAATGTCTCCGCATCAGCTTCCCGTGAACAAATGAGCTATACCTATGATGCATTGAAGAGCTATACACCAGAAATGGTTGAAGTTCTCATTGACAGTGTGAGGAATCCAGCATTCCTCGATTGGGAGGTCAAAGAGCAGGTGCTTGATCACTGAAAGTAAATTTGAGTTCCTTTTTTTCTTCCTTTTTATGTACTAATGGTGTTACTCGTTTCTACAGCTCCGGAACATAAAATCTGAAATAGCTGATGTGTCTGCTAATCCTCAAGGTCTAGTTCTGGAGGCCCTTCATTCAGCTGGATATTCCGGGGCACTAGCAAAACCTTTGATGGCTTCAGAATCCGCTGTAGACCGATTGGATGCTAGCATCTTGGAGGAATTTGTTGCTGTAAGATTCAGCGATTTATTTCCCAAGTTAATGCTCAGTCATGAAGGCGTCTCTCTGACTTCTTTGCTTGCTGTGATAAATGTAGGAACATTACACTGCTCCCAGGATGGTTCTTGCAGCATCAGGAGTTGAGCATGATGCGTTGGTTTCAGTTGTAGAACCACTTCTGTCTGACCTTCCGAGTGTGAAACGTCCTGAAGAGCCAAAATCTGTGTACGTGGGAGGGGACTATCGCTGCCAAGCAGATTCTCCAGTGAGTTGTTGGCATTGCATTATTATTCTTGAGGCGTTATGAATGATTTACTTCAATTGTGCTTAAAGTTGGATTCCTTGGGAACAGAGCACACACATTGCACTTGCTTTTGAGGTGCCAGGAGGCTGGAATCAAGAGAAAACTGCAATGGTTGTGACGGTGCTTCAGGTATGCCTTACAACTGTCGAAATGATCTAACTATTTATGGATACTAGAGGCCCTTTGTTCTATATAAGAATTGTTGATGCTTTCTTATGTTTCTTGGAACTTAATTTTATATGTTGTCACATGTGCTTGATGCATATTCAAATCTAATAATGCCAATTCGTTGTTCTGTAGATGCTCATGGGAGGAGGAGGGTCCTTCTCTGCTGGCGGACCTGGAAAGGGAATGCATTCTCGATTGTGTATGGCTCTTTACAAATCATTACTGTCATAGAGTTATGCAAGCAAACTTATGTGATGTATCCTAACATGACCTTTGATCATATATCAACAGATCTCCGTGTCTTGACCAACTTCCAACAGCTTGAATCATTCTCTGCTTTCAACAGTGTCTATAACAATTCGGGCCTTTTTGGAATTTATGCAGTCACTGTAAGCTTCTTTCCTGGAGCACAGTCTAAGTTGTGTATGCCCTTGTGTTCAAACAATTAATGCAGCTGACTGTTTTTTTTAATTATTATCATTCAACAGAGCCCAGACTTTTCATCGAAGGCTGTGGATTTGGCAGCAGGGGAACTCCTGGAGATTGCGACTCCTGGAAAAGGTTTCCTTGTCAATCATCCTGTTTCCACTCTGGATTGACCATTATTATTCATATTCTTTTGTCCTCCATTTTTTTACCTCCTGTAGTTACACAAGAACAGCTTGATCGTGCTAAAGAGGCAACCAAATCTGCAGTTCTGATGAACTTGGAATCAAGAGTACACTGTTCTTGGTCCTGATCAGTCCTAACTGTATGACTTGTTTCCCTAAAGTGTCCTTTACACTACATACTTTTACTCTCTGCAGTCTATAGCATCCGAAGATATTGGAAGACAGGTTCTGACTTATGGGGAAAGGTATGAGAGTATTGCTATGCTAGTACATAGATTAAGTCTATTTTCTGTTATATTTATGTACCATGTCCTCGCAAAAATATCGGCCACCCACATTTAAGTCCTCTTTTGAGGTGAACTTGGGTGCCTATTTTCCTTCTTAATGTAAAGCCACCTAATTACTCAAAAGTTGGTATAGTTTTTTTAGTCTAAGCAGATTGAAGACATAGCAGTAATTTCTTACCCATGCAGTTGTGTCCATTTCCGTGTAAACATTTCTTCGGAGTCCCGACATTGTCTAGGGCACTATTTTATAATGTGGCCATTATTCATTTCTGCCAGTAGATCTGTTGTCATCTTCACCTATTCTATGTTTCTGAAATTTCAGGAAGCCCATTGAATATTTCCTGAAAACAGTTGAGGAGATCACTTTGAATGACATTTTGTCAACTGCAAAGAAGATGATGTCTTCACCGCTCACAATGGCATCGTGGGGCGATGGTATGTTCAGTAGTTTTGAGTTAAGTCACGGTGCCGACAAGGTATGGCGACTAACTGACTTGCTCTTATTGCAGTTATTCATGTTCCTAGCTACGAGTCTGTCAGCCGCAAGTTTCACTCGAAGTGAGGATTCAGCATTGGACTTTCATGGCCTGTTCCAACAACTGAAGGTGAAGCCTGCAACGGTCCCTCAGCTAGAATAGTTACACATAATAAAAATCATGTGGTTTGTAGTGCCCCTTCCCTGCGTGTATACGCCAAACATGTTTT